AGACATTAGTCTTCACTGGATTAGATTTGAAGGTGTTTACAGATAATTAAAACTTGTTTTTATAACATAACTTAGCAGCTAAGTAGTAAAATGAAAAGGGAATACTCAAATTATAAGATATAAAATGTTAAAGATAGAAGAACGTGTTTATTTTTTCAGTATAAATATTGTTAAGCTCAGAGAAACAGTATGAAACCTCAGGACTCATGAAAGGCCACATTCTAGAGGTAGTGATTGACAGGTATGACAACTCCCCTACAGCGTGGTGCCTGTTGTCATGGAGTAGCATGTCACTCACAGTGATTGACAGGTATAACAATTCCCCTACAGCGTGGTGCCCGTTGTCATGGAGTAGCATGTCACTCACAGTGATTGACAGGTATAACAATTCCCCTACAGCGTGGTGCCCGTTGTCATGTCACTCACAGTGATTGACAGGTATAACAATTCCCCTACAGCGTGGTGCCCGTTGTCATGGAGTAGCATGTCACTCACAGTGATTGACAGGTATGACAACTCCCCTACAGGGTGGTGCCCGTTGTCATGGAGTAGCATGTTGCTCACATGGTACCACCAGAAGGCTCAAGTAGGAAAAGCCAATAGTCCATATGAGAAACCACGGAAAGCTAAAGATAGAAGCAAATATTTGGGCCACGTTGAAGAACAAGTTCACCGGGTGAACTGGCATGTGGCTAGGGTACAACTTCCCACACACACCTAAATAATGAAGCAGTAAAAAAACAAATTTATCAGAGAAGTATTTTATTATTATTAGAGTCATGATGAGCATTCTCCTCATTAGGAGAGTTTTATGGTTTTTTCTAGCCCTACTCTATACTTTTTAAACACAGTCTCCAATTTTGAAAATAAAAGTTTCTTATTTTTAATTCAAATCTCAATTAAAATAAAACAAAAACCAAAAATGTAGAAGTTCCTTATTTTGACCATCTATATATCATACACAACAAAAAGACTGATGAAATTCCACTAAACACAACAGCTAGATCCTTATTCCCCTTAATGCTTAAGTCCATTTCAATAAGGATTTTGTACCAAATCTGCCCTTCCCAAGACTACCTGGGGCCTTCATTTTGTTATTTGCAGTGGACAATGTTAACTTCACATCCATGCTGGCTTCCTTACATCCAAGATGCACATACAGCCAGACTGATTTTTTCCCATCAGATGTGACTGGATCTTCCAACTTCAGAACGCCTTGATGACTTCCTCTTTATCTGAAGATCACTTTAAAAAGCCTGAAGTATTTGGCTCTTCCCTAAATCTTTGGGCAGACGTAATGTCATCCTCCCATTGGCTTTCTTTGTCCAAACTACATTAGCCTTATCTCAGATCCTCAAACAAGTTATATTTCCTGCCTAAGATCTTTGTATGAGTGAGTGAATGGTCTGATGAAGATAGTTCCTTTTTGCCCACAAAGGTTTTATTGATCATGCTGATAATGAATTTATTGTTATTTTAATCCTTACTGTTATACTCAGGCTTAAATTCTCTACCCTATACACTTCAGTTGACATAATTTTAATTTCCAATATGATGCCTCTCTTTTCTATCAACACTCTCTCCCCATAGGGTTTCATCTAGATCAGGAGTCAGCAAAATTTTTGACAAAGAGCCAGACAGTAAATATTGCAGGCTTTGTGTTGCCAAGAGGCAAATTTATGGAACTTTCCTTGCTGAAAAATTTCCCTATATTTTACATTTTAGACTTATAAATGTAACACATATTTATAACTCATGAGCCATACAAAAACAGGCAGCAGACCAGATCTGGCTCATGGGCTATGATAGTTTGCCAACCCCTCACCTAGATTCATGATCTCAGGCATGATTATCTAACTCACATCTCTAGCCAAGTCAACTCGTCAGTGCCTACTTGATATCTCCACTTGGATTCTAACTAGCGTCTCAATTTAAGATTAAAAAATGTGAAATCAATCACACATATGCACCTACCCACACCTCTGTTACTTGCAAACTGCCTCATGTCATCAAGACTTTGCCATATCACTAAAAGTGACCATAATCCCCCATGTCCCTAAATCCAAATACCTTGGTATAATTCTTGCTCAGTAAATTCAATCATCTTCAAATCAATTTCCAATCTCAGCTGATTTTTCTCCAACTTTATTGCTACAATCATAATCCCAACCACCATCATCCTTCAATTGGACAGGTGCAATAGTCAGCTAAATGAACCCCCTTCCTTCACTACTGTACTCTCCCACAAAAGTACACCCTCCTAAGAGCTAAGTTCATCATATCACATATCCATCATACACTTTTCAATGTAGTTAATTTATACTCACACTTTGATATAAGATCTAAACCTGGTCCCTGAGAGCACTCATGTAATATCTCTCCACGCTCTTCCTTCATGGACATTCCAGCCACACCGGCCTTGTTTTCTTTGCAAGAAACTACCAAGCTCTCTTTTAAATTACAGAATCTTTGTATCTGCCCTTCTTTCTGTTCAGAGAACCCCAGATCTTCAAAGTACCTCCCTATTTACTATAAATAGTAGAAGACTGTTCAGTCTTCACTCAACTCTCAAATGAAATATTACCTCCTCAGAGAGAAAAACTCTCTGAAATACCTAGAGCCAGATCAGTGCTTTCCTACCTGCCAGCTTCACTCAGCCACGTTATCACTTGTGATCTTCTTCATAGTGGTGCACCTTGCAGCCCTTCACACCATCGCTTTGTGTAGGTATTTGCATGTCTTCTTCCTGTTTCTCTCCACACTACCCTATAGCCAATTATGTCTTTGCCCTCTTCACTGCTATATTCCCTAGTGCCTGGTAGGCTTTCTATAAATAGCCATTTATTGACTTATTGACTACATGTATATGCTAATCCTTTTTACTAATTTTTGTTATACTATATATTTCTCTTCTCTCTCTCTTTGCTTCCCTCTCTTCTCATGTCCCTTGATGCTCTCTACTCAATATTAACACGTACATCATTCTGTGTCTTCGGTATTTCTCTTTTCATTATATTATGATAGGTTAATTTTCCTAAGAAAACACTATTTTGACAAAAGCAAAGCATTAAAGTAAAGCAGCATAGGATCAATTTTTTTCCTGGTAGAAGGAAACACGCTCTTTCCAAGAAGACAATTCCACCAGGAAACAAAACAAACCAAACTATTTCCGGTAAGTCCTAGTTCCAACACTTGAAGCCAGTATGTTTCCCCACTTTCAAGTATCCTTGACCGTAGAGATAAAAGGTATCCACTTAGAGATACTGACACATTACCACTGCCTAAATTTGGATCCAGAAACACAACTTAGTATGATATCAATTAATGTGACAGTCATTTGAAAGTAGCTTTATCAACATCATCCAACAGAACAAGTGACCTTTCTAATTAGCATCTTCAGTTAAATACCTAAATCTGATGAAGAAAAAGTTATGCATTATGCTGAATTGCATTGGCTCACTATTCTAGAATGCTTTCAAATTAATTAAAAATGAGATATTCAGTAATGAGAAATATAAAAAGATAAAAACCTATTTCAATCTATTTAAATTAGAATTTAACATTTCTTTAATACACTAGTTTGTAGTCAATTGCAAGAGTAATAAATATTGAGTCTTTAATAGTGACCATTCAAAATTCATAATGAATTATTAAAAAGAAAACTAAGGTCCCTATCAACTTTCCACTTCACTTCACACCTCAGCCAAGGTCATTACAACAGCAAGGAAGACTCTACACAATTCCCACTTCTTCTCCTCTATTCTGTTACTTCTGGAATCTTCTATTACTCCAAATTGTGTGCTTTGCTCCAGACACAGCAGCTCTCACTATCTTGTTCTTCCAATTGCCATTTTCTCTGTGTGGCCTTTCTTGACTATCCAATTAAAAATTACCCTATCAAAATTATCTGATCCCCATCCAGGGTTACTTTTCAACATCTAACTTATGATACTTTGCATATTTATGCGGCTCATTGTCTGTTATCTGTCTCCCTATGTTAGAATGCAAGCTTCATGATGGCAGAGTTTTGGCCAATCTCCTTCACTCAATAATTCCTGACCCAAAGTAAACACCTCATAAGTATTTTTTGAATATAGAAATGTATAGTCCGAATTATCAAGGAGTTTATAAATAAATAAAGACATAAACCAGCATTATAGTGCAATTTGAGAAATATCAATAGTGTGGTATAGGAGGAGGTATGTAAACTATGGGAAGCAACAGTTAAATGAGAAGCAATCCAGAAAGACACACAGTGTAGGTGATATCTGAGTTAAAGGACAGAAAGTAAGAAGATAACCAGAAGGAGAAAAGAGAGGAAGGTCTTACAAACAAGCATCGGAAGTTACCATAAGAAAAACAAGTACAAAATAATCACGAGAAAAACAATTGCATCCCAACTATTATGACAAACATAATTAACTATGAAAACCCAAAACAGTTCATGCTTTGATAATGCTAAAGCTGATAAGTAGATTAAGGTGTGATATGACAATCTGTAAATCTTAGTGCTTCCTAACTTTTGAGAAAACACTTTTAGGCAAGATATGATGATTTACGGAAGAAAAGTTGCGATGGATGAGGCATGTCCCTTAAAGACAAACACTGTGAACACTGTGTACAGCGTTTATAATGGAAAGGTGCCAGGTTTTTTTTTTTTTTTAAGTCTCTTGGAATCTCAGTTGGCAACTTTGAAATTCATGTGTAATTCATGAGTTTTTTAAAAGAAGTGCAATAAGTAACACAAGTGATTCTAGAGCTTGTCTTTAGGCTGAGGTCGATATTGGCATTATAAGTTGAAGTGTTAGAAAGGAACAATAAGAATTAAGAATAAGCAGTAATTTCTGCCAACATCTGTGGCACCCAGTCACACACAAGGCAATTTGGAATCTCCTGGTTTCCAAGGTTCAGGCTCTCGTACTTTAGTTTGTACATAAAGGAATTAAGTTATTCTTAAAGCAGTTTCAGCACTTCACACTAGGAGATGGTTATGAGACAGATCACAGGATGAAGTGAAACAGGATGTGTGCCTGCTTGTAGAAGGAACCTCCTTCCTTCTGCCACTCTATTCCTACTGTTTTGGCAGGAAAGTCCTAGAAAAAATTTCATATACAGATTAATTTCAAACAATTTACATTGTATTTTACTATTATTAGCTTGTAGAATATCTTAGCTTAGGCTGGGCATGGTGGCTCACACGTGAAATCCCAGCCCTTTGGGAGGCTGATCCCCTGAAGTCAAGAGTTTGAGACTAGCCTGGCCAACATGGTAAAACCTAGTCTCCACTAAGAATCCAAAAATTAGCCGGGTGTGGTGATGGATACCTGTAATCCTGACTACTTGAGAGGCTGAGGCAGGAGAATCATTGAGCCCGGGAGATGGAGGCTGCAGTGAGCCAAGACTGTGCCACTGCACTCCAGCCTGGGCAAGAGAGCAAGACTCTGTCTCAAAAAAAAAAAAAAAGAATATCTTAGCTTATATATTTCTCACACCTGATCCTACCACTTTACTTCTTCTTTCCTGTTTATACTAATTATTTCTATTCCTCTTGACATAGAGGCAGAGAGGTAAGACTAAACTGTGACACAGACAATGGTATCTAGTAAATTTACCTGTTCTTCACGGTCAATTCCACAACAAATTTCAAATGCAACCAAAATCTCCAAATGAAATCTTAATTCTAAATTGAGGGTTTATACAGTCTTCAAATATGTTCAACTAGAACATCCAAGCTCAATACAAATAGTTATATCACTTGGGATGGTGTTTAAAATATCTTTTCCTAGATAAATTCAGCTTCAGAGGATGAGGAGACCTTCATTAGGAGATGCACCTTAAAGAACAAATTAAGTTAAACAAATGTGAAAGAAATAATACTTTATTACGATGAATAGTAAGATTTTTTTGTTACTATTGTGAATTAATGCCATCAAAATATTGAGTGATGTAATTCAATTTAGTAAAACAAAAAAGTCTAAATTATCTACTTCTTTCCTTATAAAAATGAAATATGCTATAACTTGCATTTTTTCTATGGCAATGACCCTGATGATCAGAAAGACAGGTTAAAACATAAAAACATGTAAAATCATCTAACCTAAACTATAAAAAAGAAATCACTTTCTGCAGAAAAAAATTTTTTTAAGGAAGCACTCAAAAACAAATCTCTACTAGCAGACATACAATACACACATCTCTTGCTATCTCCCATGCAGACTGCATTAAAAGGCTTGCGGACTACTTTTAAGAAAACAACACTCAGATGTCTGGAAATTATCTGAAATGCATGATAAATCGACACAGATAATTTTCTCAAGAAATCAAATTTTGAAGACAAGTAATTCAAAAGTGTTATTGTCTTTAAAGTAAATCCACTGGTATTCTTAAACTGCTGTAATACTTCCTCTGTTTACATGAACCTCTCAAGCTGTGGGGATGCATGTAATCTCTAAGAATAGCTGGCTTCTTTTGTAGGAAAAAGCTGTTAGAAATGACTTAGGATTTCAAATGTTTGGGAGTGTATATTCATGTGGGTTTTATGTGTTGAATATTTGCATTTATAATTTTAAGACGTTTAAATCAAAAACTAAAATGACCTATGTAACATAATTCTGCCATACGATAAATTAAATTCAGTTAAATTTTTCCATACAAATGATTATCTACCACAATATAAAAATATTTGCATATCATAAAGAATGTAAAAAACACTGACTTCTATTATACAGCAGAGTTCAATTTCACTCCCACTTAGCTTGATGATATTTTCAGGTCATGCCTCTTGGAATACTCAATATTCATTGCCAAATGTCTGAGCTCACCTCTCTTGACGCAATATTCAATTATCAAATGAAAATAGTTTACCAAGCAACCTCACAAAACACAAACTCTAGGTAGCATTAAGGTTTTCCAAAGTGATTATTCCTTACTGGTAGTGATCCTAAGATATTAAAACTCATAGATCACATGATCTGAGATTTTCTAATTGAAAAGCTGTAGCCGTAAACCTTTAATTCAAAGTCGCATACTACCTTCAGCTGTCAGAAGAATTACGCAATCACTTAAATTTCTGGAATGAAAGAGAAAATGAAGGGAACAATAAAAGTTACTTTGAAATGCACTGGGAAATGATTGTAAGGGACCAAATGGAGGCAAAGACAGAGAGAGAGAAGGCTGTTTATCTAACCTTCCCTTCTTGAATAGGTTTTCTCTGATATCTCTAGAGAAAAACTGGATGTGTAACAATGAAATACAAAACACAAGATATTATCTTAGTATCATTACTTGTAATGACTCCAAGATGGCATATTGAGAACTCGCTAAATAGGACAACAAAGTGATCTGCTTTTCCAAAATTTTGCCCCTTAACTTAAATATTTCATGGTGAAGATCAATAAAATTGAAAATTGGAATTGCCAGATATTATCAGATTTTATTTTTTGAATGCTTAAAGCATTCCCAATAAGATTTTGGGCCAATTGCTGACCCAAAATCTGGTCATAAAGATGGAAGTTAAATTAAATTGTCCTCAAGATTTAAGTTTGCTACATTTTTAAGTGTCGCTTGCTTCTTCAAAATTTCAAACTTTCTCATATCTAGCAGCAGATTGAAATTAGGAATTTAAGCATGTAAATTCATCGTGGAAACCACATTGATTAAAATTTTCTGTGTATTCATGATAATGTTTAAAATTTTTGCCACACTGAAACCCTAAGTTAGTTACAAAAACTCTAAAATTATGCGTGTTTAAAAACTTGGGCTAACTTGCTTTTGAAAACATACTGACATATTCATTCCATTCTTCTTATAAGTATTTTTGTGTCCTTCCAAAACAGCACACCATTGTATACATCCCCAAAACAGCACTTCTTTGTTAAAGCCATTAAGACAGAAATATTTTGGGGCCAGACGCAATGGCTCATGCCTGTAATCTCAGTATTTTGGGAGGCCTAGGTTAGAGGATTGCTTGAGGATAGGAGTCCGTGACCAGCCTGGGCAACATAGCAAGACCCAGTTTTTACAAATGAAATGAAAATAAAATAGAAAGTAAACTAGCTGGTCATGGTAGTGCACACCTGTGGTCATAGCCACCCGGAGGCTGAGAGGAGAGGACCGTAGGAACCTGGGAGTTTGGGGTCACGATGAACTATGACTGCACCACTGCACTTCAGCCAGAATTACGGGTTGCTGAGTTAGAAATAAGTTCTAGGTTCTGAATATAATAACTGCTGCTGGCAGTCCCAAGAATCCTGAAATGCACTGGGTTTTCTGGTGCCTCCCTATAGTCCCTCTTTCTCAGGAAACACTCCCATGGTTTTTCCCGCTGTGCTATTAATTACACCCATGCTTATTATATGTCAGTTCAGTTTCATCTAGAGTCTCCCAAAGTCAGTGCTGAACTTAGTTGTCTGAAAAGGTATATATTGTAATAGTTACCAAAAAGACAAAATACAGCTAGATATTTATGTTATTTATTTCCACCGTAGGTATATTTCCTTTTAAAATTCATATATATCTTTCTTTAAGGATTGGCTTCATTTTCAGATATTAAGCACTTTCTCACGCACAAACCACCTAAGCAGCATAGACACAGATAGAGTCCACATCAGGGAATGTTACATTCAGGATAAGTGCCTATTATTCTGTAACTCAGAAGTAGGAAAATGGATGTCCTCAAGCAGATGCTTTTCTTGACAGATACAAAACATTGACAAGGATCATTAACTTACTTCCAACCCACCATTCATCCCTTTTCTCTTATTTTGACCCTAAGGGCCCCAGAAGGATAATAGCCCTACATTCTTATTTAGAATCCAGACTTCAGACGGCATTTCTTATATCATTGTTTATAAGCAGTGGTTGCACACAGTTGAGATAATACTATGATATTAATCTACAGTCCTTGTTAAATCGATTTTTGTCTTCCATTTTTTAACTTAGCTACAATTTCTCACGTGGTTTCTCTAAGAAGGAACATTAGGATTTCCCAGTGACTTAAACATTTAGAACACAGTCTATTCATAAATATGAAGAGCTTGTGTAGAAAATATAATTTACTTATACCATTGATGCTTAAGAAATTATGTGAAATCGTGAAAATAATCTTATAACATTTGCATGCATGTTTGCTGCAAGAGTCACACTTCATTGATACTTAATCATAATCTTGGACATTGTGAGTCCCAATAACCAATATTTAATGCAAGATTTTAAACTTCATAGAGAGAAAACCTTATTTATAAATTTTAATGTATTCTTTTCTTGACAATAATAAGGAGCTATGAGATTTGCATTTAAAAATACTTAGTAATAAAAACTTTAATTTTTTAAAACTTTTATTTTTAAATTCTGCTTAATTGCATAAAAGTTAAAAGGTAATATTTAATATTTAATGAGGCTTATTGATCTAAATGACGATATGCAGCTTGGGTTATACTTGCAATTATAAGATTTGCTCATTACACCTAAGCAATCTCCTTCACTCAATCTAGCTACCACAAGGGAAGCAAAGTTCCCTGAATCATAATATCAAAGCATTCCATTATGTTTTCTATTAAGTTGTTTTGTTCTTTGAATCATAGTCTATTTTAATTTATCCTTTAGAAAGAAAACAAATTACTTAACTTGCATTTACCACTAGAAGCTTCACTACAGGTAGGCTTGGAATTGATTTCAGGCCATTTTTTTAAATAAATGATGGTCTCCAATGAAGGATAGAATATTTGATCAATCAACATTGAGGAAATAAAAGTGTTCGGGTAAATAAGAGAGAAGAAACCTATTTTTCTCAAATATTTTAAATATCTAATAACCTATTCCTCATCTAAAACAAGCCAATTACTGGAAATGATGGTCAGAGGAAGGTTTCGGCAGCCCTGTGTAATACCACGTGTCATGCTGGATCACTGGAAATGATGGTCAGAGGAAGGTCTCAGCAGCCCTGTGTAATACCACGTGTCATGTAGGATCACTATTACAGAGAACAGTTGTCATGCTGCATTTTAGTAACTCTACATATTGCCAGAGAAATAAACAACTCTTCTAACCACAGAAATCCAACGTAGCTACTGTCTACATATTCTTGGTTTAGACGTTCGGTGAAGAAACTACTATGTGTATTAAATATATTTTACATTAGTTTTATCACAAAAAAGAAAAATGAGAATTCTATTGGATGCTAATATAAATTCTGAATGGCATGAAAGAAAAATTAAAATCAAAGCTGATCTTAATTAACAAAATGTATTTTCTGCTTACATGTATATACAATTATTCATATACAAAGGCACACACGTATTTGTGGTTTTGAAAAGTAACTAATTTCAAAAATTTATTGAACAATATTACATATGGCAAGAAAACTGCTCTTTTTGAAGGATCTTTTAAAAAGTGTTAAACTTTCTTAGATACTCTGAACTAGCAAAGCTCAACTTCATCACAATTATATGATACCACTGCACACTCTCAATTTTATCTGGAGTAACATACCTATCCCTTGAAATAAACTCTGAACTTCCTGCTCAGAGATTTCATTTCAAGCCTTGAAAATGCAGAAAAAAATGCCAAATATACTTGCCCCAAAAGGAAAAGAAAATTTCAAGGGTGTCAGGGACATTTTATCACATAAAATATGGAATTGAAATTTGTATCTGAGCAAGCAACACACCTCCAAAAACAATACAATAGTTACCACAAAATACATTAACAAACACTAGATTTGGCACAAACCACTCCATGCAGCTATTGATCAAATCACTATTGAAAGCCTTATTTCAAAATCTATGGCCCTTTTCTACTCTCCAAGAGACATTTCAGGATGCCACAACCTTGCAGTTCCACTCTATCATTAATTTCCCCTAAATACACTTGGCAGAAGAATGAGAAACATCACATTTTTCATTTAATTTCTAAAGAACGTCACATCCTTTAAGAAAAGGTTCTTGAAATTTTACAACGTAAAACATAAAAACCCTAAAGAAAAGGAACAAACATCGAAAACTTGTCTTCCAAATCACAAAATCTTTATATGCTACGTGTTCTTGTAAAATACCACACACACAAACTCATACTCATACCCACCCACCCAAAACACACACACACACAGCCTCATAATATATCACACACATACACATAGCATCAATTACAACCAAGAAAAGCCAGTTTCAGAATGGTGGCTTCAAATTGGATGCATTTACTCACACCTAATTCTAGTTCGGTTTAACTGGTGCAGAGGCATTACAATACCTTGTAACAAAAACCTGCGGGAAGATTACAGCAAATTGCTTAAACGTCAAACCAAAGATTCACATAATTTCATCATACAGTGAAATTCGCATCCAGCTCTCAAAGAATTAGAACATCCTTGCACTTACCTTGGCCTTGTCCATTCCCCTGATGACCCCAAAAGACCACAGTCGCCATCAACAGCCCCGGAGCCCATGTCCACATCCTTCTCGTGACACTTTCATGTCTTCTGGCCATTGCATCTTCAACTCTGCATATTGAGCGGGTGGATGTGAAAGTACAATAAATTACATTCTTAGAGAAATACATTACAGCTCAAATCCCGTATCTAATATGCATTGTGCATTTCCGAATTATCTTGCTAACAAGGAGGTACATTTGCTTCCCTTTGGATTGTCATATTGATGATTAATATGAAAGCTCATTCATCTTTAACCTTTATTCTAAACATTCATCTGAATTACATTTTTAATATCATTTTCCAAAACAGGCCATGTAACCCATGAAAGTTAAAAAGTGCTCCCAATATACACATTGGAGTTCAGTCAAGCAAAAAAATTGTGTATGGACACTACTTAAGTATAACTTAATACTTAGGCAAATTAATGAATGTAATATACCATGTAGTCTCTACATATATACAAAAGGACTTTTCAACACATTTATGTAAGTTTAGCATAAATACCCTTGAAAATAATCTCAAGTGTTAAGTGGTATTCTAATTATGTCAGTAATTTTAACTGAATAAAGAGATTCATCATGTGCAAAAACTAATCTCGTTTACTTAAAATTGAGAGTAAAATTAATTATAGAAGTTACAAAACACTTGTAATTTTGATTTCAGATACATAACCCACAGGAACTTTCATATATGCAAATATTATACATATATATGACAATGTATATTTGAATGTTCATTTTGAAACTGCTTTTCATATTGATACATGAAAATACTTAAATGTCCACCAAAGCATTTATTTATTCATACATCTGAATGATACACAATAGCTCAAAAGAATAAACTTGAGTTGCATGTACTAATATGGATAAGTGTCAAAAATAAATAGTGAAGCAAAACTAGCAAATTAAATAACGATAAGTCTAAAACTATACCTTCCATATGTAAACATGTACAATAGTTAAAACTATACATTTTATGTTGCATAAATAGATAACACAGTATAATAATGCATAAGAATGATAAACACCTTCAAGACCAAAGTTAGGAAATTACAAGACTATAATTTAAATGGTTAGCAGGTGGAATTTTAAATCAGAGGTTACTCCTAAATCCCAATTTTTCCACAGTTGACAACATATGGAGTTAAGAAAAGTAAACTTAATGATTTCCAGAATGAACCCTTTATTCAAAATGCGACATAATTACAATTCTAATAAATTTGCAAGGGAATCCAGCCAGCCACAAGTTTTCTTTCTCCCTTTCTCCTACATCAGAAAAGGGGAGGATTTAATTACCGACTTTGCATTACTTAATTTCAGACTCATAGTATCAGAGCTAAAGAGAAATTTAAGAAACACCTAACTCAACCTCCCCATTTTAAATGACCAAATGAGTTGAGAAGGTTACAATGACATTTCTGAGTTAATATGTAAAAACAGAATTTTGATGACAATGACAGGTTAAGTACTAATAAACACTCCATGAAAAGTTACTGTAATCCAAGTTATTTTACTATGCTAAATGCCTTACATTCTTTACCCAATAGAGTTTTCACAGAGATCCTATGAACAAAGCACTTTCAAAATTTACCACTTCACAGCTAAGAAAAACAAGGCTTAAAGAAATGCTACAGGATCCCCTAGTTGTGAGGTTAGTAAGTACTGTTGTGGAGACTGAGGCAAAACAGGACGATTTCAAAGCCTATGCTCTGAACAAGTAAACACTAAGCAGGAATTTAGTTCTAGATCTCCCAATTGTAGTCCAATAATCAGCCAAAAAATGATGCTGAGAAGAGGGAAAAAAAAGATGTCTTGTGTATGGAGCCTCATGTATTTGATCCCAAATAAACATCTTCAAATTGAAAATCATTACAGCATAAGGCAACAGAATTACTAGCTTGTTTCTAAAATCATCAACCTTTCCCAAGTTGAACACAGAAGTGTATTTTATCATACCTATATGTATGTATAACATGTGTTTACATAAGTATTCCTGTGGTTTATGTATCTGGATTTGGAATTTTGAGTGTTTTGTGATTATTTATTTATTTATGTGTGTTTAAAGTCTCCCTCTGTCGCTCTGGCTGGAGTGCAGTGGCGTGATCACAGCTCACTGCAGACTCCAACTCTTAGGCCCAAGCGATACTTTTGCCTCGGCCTCTCAAGTAGCTTGGACTACAGGCACATACCACCACACCGGGCTAATTTTTTATAGAGATGGGATCCCACTGTGTTGCCTGGCTGGTCTCAAACTCCTAAGGTCAAGGGATCCTCCCACCTAGACTTCCGAAAGCAATGAGATTATAGGTGTGAGCCACCTTGTGTTTCTGATTTCTTCAATTAATTTTACTCATAAATTTAATTACACATTAATTTTGTGTACATAATGAATCTCTTTTGAGGTTTAAATGACTGATATAATTAGAGTACCACTTAACTCAAAACTTGGAATGTTTTGTGAATGAACTGGGGTATCCAGGGCAAATCTCAACCGCCACACCAACACACATTTGAATTATTAATAATTTTACATCGAAGAAAAAATGACGAATGTTACAAAAGAACAACACTGGTGCCGGATTAACTGATTAGTGGACAGTGTGTAAGATGGGAAGTTGTTGCCAAAAACCAACGTTAGTGATACATGTGGATGTGCACGTAGTGTGTGTGTACACACATTCTTTTTATTTTGCTTTGTTTTGAGACAGAGTCTTTCTCTGTCACCCAGTCTAGAGTGCAGTGGTGCAATCTCTGCTCACTGCAACTTCCGCTTCCTGGGTTCAAGCAATTCTCCTGCCTCAGCCTCCCAAGTAACTGAGATTACAGGCACGCACCACTATGCCTGGCTAATTTTTGTATTTTTAGTAGACAGTGTTTCACCATGGTGGCCATGCTGGTCTTGAACTCCTGACCTCAGGTGATCCGCCCGCCTCAGCCTCCCAAAGTGCTAACATTGTAGGCATGAGCCACCGTGCTCGGCCTATACACATTCTTTTAACTACTACTTGCAGAGCTTTGTTCCCTTATAATTATAGTGGAAATATTTTTACTTAGTATCAAAATATACAGATCCACCCATCAAATTGTAAATAATCCTTCAGTAAATTACTTTTGCAAATTTATTTTTATGTAATATTTCCTTAACTTCTTCTTATCTACATTCAGTAGTCATTTTAAAGGCATAATTTTTACTATTTTATCTAGAACTGAGGCAGTATTTGAAAAAAATCTCAAAACACTCTTCAGGAAGTATTGGCATATAAAACACCAGTTCCAACATATATTTTAGCAGCATTTTAAAGGACAGATGGCTTTCAAAATATTATTATAATGTAAAAAAAAGTAACCTTCCTCTCTGAGTTGACGTTTATGGAAAACTAATATTTCATAAATGCCAAGTTACTATGATGTATTATCTAAATGCTGTCCCTGCCATTCTATAAATATAAAAACCATAACCTCCTAACTAACTTTGGTATGAGTCAACAATTGTGCTGATGAAAAGTAAAATCAATTCATTTAAAACAATTTTTCCATGAAAGAAAAAACAAGTAACTTATAAGAAGCACGGTAGATGAACCAATAAATAAAGTAACATTAACCACAAAGACATGCCATGGACTTCTCTAATCTTGTTTTGGAACACCCTTTTCATGCATATGAGAATAAAAATTAAATACTAAATACCTACTTTATGTATGTACTTTCACTTGTATCTATTGCTCTTTAAAGATTAAAATAACTCCTAAAGCCTGGATAGTTGAGCCCATTGTGCTCTTCTGCCCATAAAATAGATTGGCTATGCAGCGAACAGCGAGGTAAAACTTAGGCTTTCAGATTGGCTATGACTATGGAAACAGACTTCCATTCAATAGTGTTCATCTTGCTCTTTCAAATGTTTAAGGTCACAAGGCAAAAGAGAACAGACTTTAAGAATGTTCACGTATTACTTCTTGTCTTACCCAACAGCTACATTAGTTTGATTAGGCAAGCGTTTTGGAGTAAACAGTGCTGTGAAATGTGTTGTGGAGTCCAGAGGCTCCACAGCCTATCTCCAGATAGTTGTTCTGTAAGACAGAGCCTAGAGAAATACCACCACAGTTTGAGAGATGCATTACATCTACAGGTACCAACTAGGAAGCACAGTCCTGAATTCAGTGGCTTTAGAACACATTATAAGAGCAAATCGAAGCTTCCAGGTATTAGAACCACTTCAATTACAGAGCATCTCTGGGTTCGATCTGTGGCCAGCATCAGAAATCTGTCTGCCCTCCCGGAATGGTTCCACTCCTCATGTGGATCTTCTAGATAGTTTTATTCTTCCCCAGCCAGCCAACTTGACCAACAAGCCTAGGTATATTATGTATGTATAAAGTTGGTTCTTAAATAAGTCCATTTCTATATCTAGGTAAGTAATGCCTTCAGACTTGCTATTTCATCGTTATCTAGAAAGAGTGACTCTAGTTAGCTTCTAGTGTCAGTTTTTCTAGCAGCTTCTTTAAAAAAAAATTCCTCTCTGGAACAAAGCTTCCTTGCAAGTATTGCTGTTGGCAATAGTCTTCTTTACTGAAATGCTTGTCCAGTGAAACCTGGGCTGTGCCAGTGAGCCTGCAGGTTGATGGTCCTTTGGTTCAACTTCTCCATTATAAAGCAACCTCTCTGATCACCCTTTTAAAACTAAAGACCAAAGAATCAAATGAGATCAGGAAGTGACCACAGCTCACAGGTCATCAATTCCTGTTCTTAGCATATTACAGCACACAATCTAAGCCAGAAAAACGCAGCACAGCCCATTACAGCTCTCGAGTTCCAGTTATTAACATTGATTTTTTTCAATGGAAAATTTTCATTAGAAGCCATCACATGACTTACATTCAGTAATAACTTAGATTAAGATATATACTGGAGCCTTTGTCCTTAGACTAGGTGCCACTGAGTCACTATTAAAAGGAGTCTTTTTGACCTTAGTAAATTCTCACAGGTAGGGCTTATCTTAGTCTGCACTGTACCTGGGCTTTAATAGTGATGTCCAAAGTCCTGTGTAATTCAAATTAATATTGTAATGTATAT